GTTAGTCACAGTCTGCACGTTCTCGCCATGCTCAAGTGCTACTTTGTTTCCTCTCATGATTCGCATCACATCCCGTAGAACAGCTGAGGAGACTTGATAAACCCCCCCCTGCCTTCTTGGCCCTCCACCACAGCCACATTGCAGAAGAACACACACCTGACATGGATTAGGCTGCTCCGGCGTCATGTCTCACACACCAGAGCCAAAAACAACAACGTTTGGATTGCAATTACAATAAACAGAAAAAAAAAATAGCTGGACGTGGATTGGAGTGCAGCCTTTCCAGTAAACTGGCTGAGTCCTGATCAGTTTTAACTAAAAATAGTTTGCTGCTTTGCCCAGACAGAGGAAACAAGACCCCATGAGGCCTTGCACCGAGTGAACCGCGAACCAGGTTGTTTCCCGCTAGTTCCCCCACCTTTTGATTGCTCAGCTTTGATCACTGATGAGCATGATGGGATCTGAGAAGGTCACAGATAAAACTGAAGACCTGTATGAGAGATAACGGCGATTTATGCACAAAATGTTAACGCTCAGGGTATGTGTTGGAAATGACTTTCAGCTACAAAATGATCAAATTTTATCAGGATATTTGTAATAAATTACTACGGGTTTACTCAAAAATGTAATCAGCTGTAGATACACATCTATTGATCTCTTCCTGAGAGGTCCATTAACATTTGTCTTGTGGTTTGTAAGATATTTTGCTAACAGACAAAATAAACAGGCAATTATATCACTGACCTCCTTATAAATGTGCAGCAAATGTAATACTGAGGTCCAGGAGGGGCTGTAGTGTTGCTTTGAGGAGAAAGTTTAGCTGCAGGGACATGGATGGGAGGAGGTACAGAGACAGTAAGAGAGAAAAATGAAATCACCCTGTCAGCCTACGTGTATTGACTCACATTCTCTGAGGTTTTTCTTGCGGCGTGCGCCCCTCCCTCCCTCACCCCGCTGCTCCTGTAAACAAGTCCGCGGCTGCGCAGAGGGGTTGGGACTGGCTGAGGGATTCCTCAGGGTGAAGGCATGAGGCGGAGCGAAGCCACGCTCCGACGATGGGCGGATGCTTCAGTCACATCCAAGGCGGCCAATCAGGAGCGGGGATCCGCCCAGCCTCTCGCCTCCACCTCCAAGTGGGCGGGGCCACAGCCTGCGTATTTGTTTGCGGCTGAACTTGAAGAGTGTGTTCTCGCGCAGACTGGCTGTTGTTTACTGACGACGTTGAACAGAGCAGTAACCGTGTTCTGTGCCTGTTCCACTCTCATGGTCGTGCAGACGCTGAGGATGAAGATCCAGGAGTCGCCCGTGGCCTGTGACCCGGCGGGGAGGATCGGGGGCGGGGAGGTGCGCGTCTCCGAGCCGGACTGCGAGGACGTCCCCCGGCTGGACCTGACCTCTCTGACCGAGGACAGCGGCAGCTGGGGAGGTGAGATCGCACGGCTCCATCCTGCTGCTGCTTTTAACACACCCGTCATTTATTTACCACACATCAAGGCGTTGTATACTGCATGCATGCAAGATAAACAAATAATTTTATAAATATGTAAACAACTTGCAGATTTGCGCACCTCCTTCTCCTCTCTTGCAACAAGTTATCTTCCTGCTCGATTATAGCAGGAGATACGTGTTTGTTGTTTTCATATCTGAGATCGTCCATCAAAGCTTGTTATCTTCTGGTTTAATTGGTTTAAACAGTTGTAAACACCTGGATGTAAACACCTCTCTGGAGTGTGTGCAGGCTTATCATTAATTAATAGTGTGAGTGTGTGTGTGTGTGNGGCTTGACCCAGACAACTGCATAAAAAAGGTGGTGGGGGGTGTTATTGATGCTCCATTTAGGATTGTTTCCCTCCAGGTACATGCATTTCTATGAATTATCTGCACAAATCAAAGTTCAAAACATAAACTATTACAGAGGATGTTATTGGTTGTTAGGTTTAGGATTTCTAACACTAAGTTGGCAGAATCTGAAAGGGTTGCATCATCTCTCATGGGCATTTCTTCTTCTTCTTCTTCTTCTTCTTCTTCTTCTTCTTCTTCTTCTTCTTCTTCTTCTCTTTTTAAAATTTCATTTCATTTTTTTTCCCATTAGTCCTCCTGAGTGTGGTTTTATCATTGCAGCGGTGTGCAGAAAGGAACTAGGGCCCAGTTTGTGGTGACCGTTTAGATTGCTCCACAGAGGAACCTGGGCACAGTGAAGCTGCTCTGAAGGCCAGACGTTCAGATGAGTCGTGCACAGGAATGATAACCAACAGGTTCACCCTTCTGAACAGACCCAGAGAACATGCTCGGTCTGTCTTCTTCTTCTTCCGGTGACCCCTTTCTGCTTTCGTGTGTTTACGTTTGCTCCCACCATCGCCACTTCCTGTTTGATCTAAAACACACACACACACACACACAGGGCAAAAAAAAAGAAAATAGCACCCCTGCAATAAGTGTGACAGTTTCAACAGCCTCATCAGGCAAAAACATGTTTCATAGAGCTCTCTAGTGGCCAAAGCTTGTACCTGGAAAAATACTGGCGCTCTGGGGAGGAGGATCTTGTTGCCATGCAGCCCATTTTTCTTTTTTTTTTTAAAGCATACACTGAGGACGTTTGTTTGTCTAAGCTGATGTATGTTTTGCACAGACAAGAAGATGTTTTGTCTGATCTTCTTCATTCTTTTTTTAATCCTCCTCCTTGAACATTCTGTTCTGAATATGTAAAAGAGCTCAGAGCCCCAAGAAGCCCACAGTGGGGGGTGGATGCATGATTGGCTTTGACCATGCAGGACAGGATTAGGGAGGGTGTGGGCCCCTGGGCTACAGCTACTTTTAAAGGCGCTCTATTGATCTTTTATTAATGCACAGAAATCTAAAAAAAAACTGTATACTTACCGTCTGAAATTATTAAAAAACTACTCTGTCAAGATTTTCTTTTCAATGAATCATTTCTACTCGAACCATAAGTGAATCTGAACTGTTCTCTATTTAAATTCAATTAATTTGAAAGCGCAATGAGGAAGAAAAGGCCAACATGTAAAATATCAGCAAACAAAGTAACAGGAAACACTGCAACTCGGCAGCTTAAACACTTTAAAGTCCTGAGCTTGAACAGAGCACAGTAAGTTACAAGTTTTGGTTTTAAAGAAAACTAAAATTTGAAACAGAAAATGAAAACCTGTTGCCTGATTTTATGAAAATATTAGGTTGTCTGATTGAATTTCTGTCTATAAAGAGACATTGCTGCATGGAACTCAGGATGATTGTTAAGAATAATCGTAAAACAATGCTTCATCACTTCACGAAGCAATAAAAGTGTTTACAAACCATATAACACACATAGTACAGTTATTTAGTAAAACTTTAATGCTATCAACTTTAAAAATGTAAAACAAATTTGAAGCAAACTTAAAACAAAAAATGAAAAAATCATGAAGTAAATACTTTGTGCTAAAACTGGCCGAAAAAGCTCATGTTGAAACAATAGCTAAAACCCAAAATTGGCAAAAATAAAAGCTAAATGTAGCCTAGCTCTAGCCAAATGCTGCAATTAGCAATTCAAAATCTAAAATTAGCAAGATATAGCTGATAGAGACTTGTGGAGATCTCAGCGCATTTTAATGGAGGGAAATCATTAAAAACAAATCCAAAAGTAACAAATAAAAGTCAAAGCGCATTACTCCTGATTGAGCTGAATATTTTGGCATATAAATGGTTAAAATAGCAGCAAGTATGCAGAAGTTGTTTGATCGGGGCGAAAAAGAAATGTAAGAAAGGAACTTTAAACAGGAAGTGGTGTTTGGAAAACTGCCATTTGTTGAAAACATGCCTGCTGCAGAACAAACCACGTGCGTCCAGTTCGACTTTTGCTTCAAGCCGCAACAAAAGGAGGTTTATGTCGCGTTGAGCCGAGCTGAATAATCACTTTATGAAACAGTGCAGTGGTCGTAAGTACTTCCTACTATACGAACGGGAATGTGGGCGTCGGAGAGCATTATGTCTGTGGAATGTCTGCACTCTTTGTCCCGGTACACCCCGTGCTGCTGCTCCTGGCCTGGTGTGAGACCCTGTTGTCGCCTGCCTGCCAGTGACAGGGAAATGACACATTATTAGGATGAACACAGTTCTGAGAGTTGAGGGAAAAGGTGTGTTAAATTGACTTCCCTTTTTTTATTGAGAGTCGCCTTTAAGTTGGCTAAAATTTATCGTGGTAGTAGTGGTCGTTTTTGGACTCCTTAGCCTTATCTCGTTCATTTCTGGAGCATTTTTCCATCCGATCCATTGTGATCTCGACTGCTCCGTCAGGATGATTAAAAGAAGAAAGAACGGAAGGAGGAAAATGTTTGATTGACCTTTTCCAACTTCATGGCAACACGCCTGACTGGTCCAGAAGATAAGCACCGAGTTATCTCGCAAAACCTTTGCTCAAATGGCACGTTGGCAGGTTTTTAGTTTCATCAATCTAGTTAATCCCGAAGCATCAGCGAGCAGTTGATTTAGAGGATTCATTTAGTGGCTGGTTCCATTGTGCCGATCTGGGTCTCTGTGGGGAAGAAGGTGTGATGGAGTTTAACCTGCCGCTGTGAGAGTGACCTTTCTTGATCAGCTTCACGTAAAAATGCCCCAGGACTCCCAGAGCTGAAATTTCAGCTCAGTTTCTCCATTTTGTTTGGTTAGTGTAACTCCGGCTAAGAAAAATACGCGCGTGCAGATTGCACGAGGGTGTGCATATTTTCACTGACACCTCCAGTGTTTACTGACGGTCAGGTTCCTTCAGAGCTTGTTTTTTCTCCCTGCAGCTATTCTTTCCTAGCGACAACTCCTCGCTTTGTTTTGACATCTGAAGTTACAGCTCTTCCCTTTTCCATGACATCCACGTTAGGAGTCCTGCTGAGGGTTTTGGCGCGCTGGCTGTAAAAGTTTCCCCTCTCTATTTCAGCTCCTGATGTTCCTCAGTTTATAGCCGTCTGGTTGTTTTTCTTTTTTTTCTTTTTTTTTTTTCTTCTTCCCATGCGTGCACATGTCTGAGCAGATGCAGCGTGGAAACTAAAACACAAACTCATCACTGTACGTCTCTGCTGGGATCATGGCTTGACGTTATCCCACAGTGATCTGGGCTTTATTAATAGCTAAGGGATCATCGGAGGGGTGCAGGGGGTCTCTCTCTCTCTGCAGGGTTTTTTTTTTTCACCAGACATAATTATTAGCAGAGTGGAGACAGCAAATAGGGGATGAACCAGGAGTCACAGTGGGTGTGGTTTACCCACAGTTTTAGAACAGAATGTGCAAATGTTCTGACCCAATGAAAGTTTTTTTTTCTTTTTTTCTTCTTCCGCAAAAAACTTAGAGGGAGCAGTGCTGTAATAATGTTCACTGTGACTCAGAAAGGGTTCAAGACATTAATGGGGAGAAAAGTTGCTTTTTAATGTATGAAGGATGACAATTTGGAAAATAAGTTGTACCTTCCTGATAACTTTTCATTTCAAAGCAACATTTTAAGGTAAACACTGTTTTCATCATTAACCAATTGTTCAATTATTCACAAATGTCAATGTCAAATTTATTTATATAGCACATTAAAACAACAAAAGCTGACCAAAGTGCTTTACAGTTCAGTCAAGACTTACAGTATATCAAAATACAAACAAATAATAGATACAAATGCAATACAGAAACACAGTATAATATATAAAAAGCTCTAACTGAATCTCCAACTCAATCTTGATAAAAAGCCAAAGAAAAGAGGTGGGTCTTCAGCAAATCTTAAGGAAAAAAAGATCTCTGTCCATGTAGATACATTTTTAAGAGTTATTATTATTTTTTTATTATTTTTTGTGAATTGTCTAAGCTTCACACATTTTTCCTTGTCAAAAATAATCTGTAATATACTTTTGGTCCAGGTCTGTAGTTGAACAACATAGAAAAACACCAATTGCATTAAATTAGGAACATAAATCTGGACACACACACACACACACACACACACAC